AAGCTCGAAGGGCAGCGAAGGGGTGCGTGTGGGGGATGTCATGGGTTTGGATCTCAGTTAGCTTCGTCGCCTCGCTCTGATGAACAGTGCGTGTCCTTCTCCTCTGGAAATCTGAGAGACGTGGTACATGTCGTGGTGTGCGACTTTTCTCTCTTATTTTCTTTCTTTCTTTTCTTTTCAAGCTCCTCTGTCACTCTTCCTGCTCTTTAACGTTCTTTGTTTATTTATTTTTCTCTTTCTCCCCACCCCCTTTTCCAGGTCTACCGCGTTTTCCTTCTCTGTTATCTCTGTCCTCTTCCCTTCACGATTCCAACTTAGGTTAAGTTAATTTTACGTTATCCTGTTAGTCTATTTTTATCGCATCCTTTTTTTCCATCACCCCCTTTCCTTCCTCTCCTCTTATTTCTCTATCCTCCTCCCTCCTCTCCTTCCCCCCTCCCCCCAATCGCCTTCTCCGAGGATTCTTCCTTTCTCCTCCTCCGTCTCTCCGTCTCCCTTCTCCCCTTTTACCTATCCCCTTCACCCCCTTCATTATTATCCTCTCTCTCTCTCTCTTTCTCTCTCTCTCTCTCTCTCTCTCTCTCTCTCTCTCTGTCTATCTGTCTGTCTGTCTGTCTGTCCTTCTGTCTGTCAGTCTGTCTGTCTCTCTCTCTCTCTCTCTCTCACACACAAACACACATACACACACACACTCTCTCTGTCCCTTTATCTTTCTCACTCTCTCTCTCCTTTCTGTTCTTCTCTTTCATCAATTTAGCTCTACCTTTCGCCACCTCACCCGTCTTCTACCCCGCCCGTTCCTTATCTTCATCTTCCTTTGTACTCCGCCTCTCCGTCATTCCCATCTTCCCTTCCTCCCCCCAGGTTTCCTCCATCTCACACCGGAGGGGTCGTACTTTGAACACGATGGACATCAATAAACGAGCTTTCATGGCGCAGCAAGACAGGAAGAAGAGGAAGTGGAAACGCGAGGACGAAGTTCGCCTTTCAGGCATGAATCTACCCAGCATATCCCCCGTGGACCTGGACAGAAGGCCCAGCGTGGATGTCATGTACCACAGCTCTGATAACGAGGTGTCTCTTCATTTTGTTTTAGTTTTTTAGTTCTCCTCTCTTCTCCTTTCCTTCCCTCTCTCCCACTCTCTCTTTCCTTCTCTCTGTATTTTTCTCTCTGTATTTCTCTCTCCCCCCCTCTCTCTCTCTCTCTCTCTCTCTCTCTCTCTCTCTCTATCTATCTATCTCTCTCTCTCTCTTTTCTCTCTCCTTCCCCCTCTCTCTATACCCCATCCCCATTCCCCCCCTCCTTCCTCTCTTCTTCTCTCTTTCTCTTTCTCTATCTCTCTCTCTCTCCTTCATCCTCCCCCCTCTCTCTCTTTCATTCTCCCTCCCCTTTCGAATATCTCATATTTACACTGAAAATGTAAGAGAGATTGTGTGTGTGTGTATACGTGTGTGTGTGTATGTGTGTGTGTGTGTGTGTGTGTGTGT